CTACAAATTCGAAAAATTTATTGTTTTTATAAAAGTAGATATAAAAAAGAAAATTATTATGGAACTTATTGTCCAAATTTTTCATTTTCAATATATTTATATATTTATTTTGAATGATAATTATTTAATCATTCGTTTTATACGATTATTTACTTAAAAATTTTAATGACGTATTGAACTGATTATAAAAATGAATAGGAGTTAACTGCTTTATAATTTCCGCATATATACATATATACACACGAGAAATACATTGATTAAAGGTATACATATTCACTATCAAGATATACTACTTATTATTGCAAGGATTTCGCGATCATTTATACAACTCTTTAACACTGTATACTACTCTTTATATAGTACAAAAACGTATACAGCATAAGGAGTCAATGTCCATTTGGAGAATTTTGCAACTTTATTTCTTGTCTGTTTTACTAACGAAAAAAAAAAAAGGGAAGAAAATATGAAAAGTTAAATAGTACGTTCTACATTTAAATTAACAATCAATGTATTAATAATATTTAACTTCTTTTGTTTTTCTATTAATGACACGTGTGGTTCACGTTGCAGCCAATTTGTCATTTTTTTGAACGATCAGTTATCCTGTAACAATAAATAAATCACTTTTCCAAGGGAACAGGAGAACCAGAAAGGGCGGCTTAAATATTCACGCAGACTTAGTACGGTGTATATTCGCAAAGGGAGATTTCAACGATAGCAACGAATTAATAGGCGATGTTGCGACAAATATATATATATATATATATGTATATGCACGCGTACCCCGTGAAACGTGTCTGAAGTTAAAGGAACACGCATCTCGTATTCGATTCATGCACGCCTTACAGCACGGGCATTCGTTCCTATAAGCAGTGCGGAAAAACCGACACCGGCCGATACATTCTAAAAATGCTCAAAACCTCTCGCGAGTCGACACGCAACGGTCTAGAGATGTTGCGGCTGCACAGGCAATGCATGCGCGGTCAAGTGTGCGTTCGCCTGCAACGCAATGCGAATTTATAAATACTTTTACCGAATATATTCGACATGTTCTATATCCTGTAGTGTTCCACTATGAGCCACGTAGTGGAATGCTGCGTCACGAAAATAGAACGTGCGCTACGAGAAAATATTTAGTTCCTTTTCGGCAATTGGGGGGGCGCGGTGGATTCGATTGACTTTTGGTTCACCGATGACGTTTCCCTTTTCTTCTTCTTTTTCTTCATTATTATTATTATTAACGATACATCGAGAAGTAACAGAACAGCGAGAAAGATACGAATTGAGTGTTTGTAACGCGGATACTGAAAGGGTTTCGCGTAAAACGTAGAGAAAATTTTCATGAGATATTCCTTCTTGTAGATTAATTCTTCTTCTGTAGCGTGTGTACCCTTTTTGCACAGTTCTAAAAACAAATAAAGATGAGAATAATATTGAAAAAAAGGAAACGAGTATATATGGTAAAAATTTCAATTTTACCATTACTGTTTATACGAAAGTTTTTATACTTTCTTTGATATTTCAGGTGATGGTTTTTTTTTTGCACAAGTGACGAACGTTTACTTGCATGATAATTATTTATGATAAAAATTGTATACACACGTTTGTTCCTGTATTGATACATTTCGATAGACATTTCTCAACTTCAATTGCAAAATGATTGTTTCAGAGATTTAAGTAATGCTATTCGCTGAGTTCTGTTTTTAATAGTTTTATAATGGAAATACATATACAAGTTCGAGGTTCTATTATCGTAGATCATTGAATTCCTCTTTGCATCGATTACAAGATTACGTTCGAGTTGAACTTGAAAACTGAACAGTTGCAAAATACAAGAATTACTTTCAACTATATTTGATGTAATACCGCTGAGTTAAGCTAGATTCCTTTTGAAACATTTTTCACCGACTCACCCTGTATATTACGTGTAGAGACCAATTGGTCGGAATGAAAAATACTTCATTGTACGATCTTACAATGGAGGAAGTAGTTTTTAGTTGTACTGTCATTCAGAAAATTTCAACGTTTCTTTTTATATCCAGTGACATTTATATTACCACAATTCGAAACACCACGGTGACCAATGAACACGCAAAAGTCAATTTCTTGAATGAATCACGTAAAATATATTCGAATACACCGCTGACCCCTCGATCTTTAACAGAAGAACAACTTTCATTGGACGAATATGAATATTCCTCGACTCCCGATATTTTCAAATGAACCGAAAGGAACGTGAGAAAGTGTTGAAAAGAACTTTATTCAACATAATTGTAACTTTTCTTACACTGAATATTTACCACGATATTTATTATTTTTCGAACATTGTACTTTTACAATGTTACTGTGCAACGCATCAAATTGCAGATTACCTCGCGTGATGAAAATACTCCGTGAAGAGGTTAGGTTGTAAATTGTCTCCGGAGAATCGACTGGGATTGAATTTCTTCGCAATAAATAATCATAACAGCCTTGTTCGAAATATTTTTTTTTTCTTTTTCTTTTTCTTTTCCTGTCTTGTAAGAAGGGATTTCAACGAGGATAAATGTAAAGGAGAATGAAATTTTCACATAAACACGATACGTTTGTTAATGATTCCGAAAGAAGAAAAATTCTCAAGCATGTTGAAGGTAAGGCGCCATGGAAAAAGGGTTTCGATTCCGCATAGAATTTCCCTGAAACTCCTGGCTTTCACTTCTCTCCGAAGAATGCGAAGGCTGAGTGCTGCCAGACCCGTACCAACTGCCCCCTTCACCAGCTGCAATACGTTTAGAAAATTTTTCAGAACCGAGCCACTCGTGGGCCGTCCCTTCTTCCCCACTTTTCGCTGTTCATCGAGAAGGTGAAAGACACGCCGCTTTTGCTACCGGTTAATTGCGATCAGAGAGAAATTCTATTTCCCTGAATCTTAATGAGTCACAGTGATTAAAACCCGCCAAATGATTTTTCGCAATACATACACAGTGGCTCGATCTGCACGTAGAAAGTTCAAATTGTCCTTCTTAATCTTTCAATTTGATTTCTTTTTAGTTTCTTTCTCTTCGAAGAACGATCTTTCTTGTTTCATTAATTCTTTTCTTTTCTTTTTCTCTCTTTCACGTAGGAACACATAAGAATATTGGCAGAAAAGAAGAATCAGTGTAATTGAAGAGTTGAGTTAAAATTGTTGCATAGTTAGAAAATTCTAAATTTCAAAAAAAAAAAATCGGTTATACATTTGGGTATGATGCAATTAGTAATGAAAATCTTAGACTGTCTTGTGCAAAATGTTTGTTCATTATTTTTCACGTGAAAATCGTGGATAATTTTCAACAAATATATATTTTTGTAAACTTTGGTAATATTTGAAAGAGGTGTAAATTGGAGGTTTTAACTGTTTCGCTTAAGGTGATCGAAATTGCTCTTTCACTTGTAAGTACGGTGTTAGACGAAACGTGGCTAATTAAGCGACACAGTGAATACGAAATTTCTCTAATGACATTTGTTTAAAATCAGGTGTACAATTATGCGGTCATCGCGTTGGTTACGTCGCGCAGAAACATTGCGTGGTGAAAGCATTGGCCATTTGTGTTTACCTTTAAAAATGAAATTATTGCTCGATAGTTTTCCTTACGTAATGATCATAACTTTCGAACCGAAACTGCTGATGGAAAGCATAAATCTTTGTCGCAATCTCACCGATCATTAATCGTGCCTTACGAATAAAATAAAGAATATATAAATATACTCGCTGTTCAAATGAAACGAAAACACTTGTTAAATTCATGTTAATTAGACTAATTAATTGTCTAGATAAATAAAGTATTGAAAAAAAAATAAAAAGAAACGAAATAATTTTGCGCAGATTGAGAGAGTCTTCCAGTAAAAAATGGTATCGAGGCGGAAGATTCTGTCTCGATCGAGGGACAACCTTGTCGAATCACAGTACGAGGACCAGGATGAAGAGGATGTATGGTATAATATCGACAAACTTTACAAGGTAAAATTATAATATTATTCAGTAATAGAAATTTACTTAATATCGAATTTTAATCTCGTTGTGTCCTTTAAGAGGAAAAAGAAACGAAGATGATATTAACATTCATGGTTTATTTTAGGATCACATTCAAGAGGTACTGGACAAGTGGAACCAAATTGACGACGAAATTTGGGCCAAGGTAATCGTTTTCGAAAGGAACCGAAGGGTGGCAAAAGCATACGCCAGAGCACCTGTACTTACGATTAATGGATCTAACGATGGATTCGATGGTTTCAGGTGAAATTATGAATAGTCATATTTCTCAAAATGTTTCATTTCCATATTTAGATAATATGGAAGAAGGAAAATCTCAATTATAAACTGTTTGAATTTATGAGAAAAGGAACTTTTAAACTTTTGAGAAAAGGAAATTTTCAGAAATAATCGAGTGATATAAGTATTTTATATAAAAAAAGGAAAAGAAATGATATTTTTTTTTTTTGTGAAATATAGGATAGGATTATGCGGTTTTGAAAACCCAATGAGAGACCCGAAAACGGAAGAGGCGAAGAAACATATAAATCAAGGTGTAAAGATTAAAATGGACGAGCAGGGGAATATACTAATAAAAAGGCTGTGTAAAAATAACGTTTACATAAAGCCCACCAGTCAGGAAGACAACGCAATTGGAGCAGAAATTGCACGGAATTCTCAAGGAGCGTTAGAACACGAGAAACCGGGGAAAGTAAGTGTTCTATCATTTGCTTTACTCCAATTCTTATTTCACTGGTGCAGTGAAATAAGATAAATCGCATTACAAAGATAAGAAATTTCTCTCTTCACTTTATCATGATTTTCATATTGTCTTTCTTTTTTCATTAATTATCAGGTGTTCGACATGAACAAATTTCAAACAAATCTTTCTCGAGAAACTCGAAGAGCGTATCCAGACAGAAGAAGACTAGAAATGCAGTGTTTGAGTGCAATTGTCTTCGTCAGAACTGAATCAGATCTTTTACAGTGTCCTGTTTGGGTTCTCATTGTAAATGTTGTCGGTTTGGACATGTTAAAGTCCAAGTTACCACCAGGTGCAATAATAAAATTATTATTTCATCAATTATTCTTTCTATTCAACTTTTTGAAATTAAAATTTATTGCAGAAATGTGTGTCGATGTATAACTTATAAATCAATTAGTTTTAGCACTACAAAGGCCGGTGGACATTAAAAATCGACCTAGGATACCGATTCCTGACGAAGATCCATATAGTGTAGCCGGAGTTTCGTCATCCATTGGAGTTTCTGAACCATTCCCACAGGATCGAGAATCCCGAGAACAAATCTACGCTCAATCGACAACTTGTAGACAAAGAAGAGGTGAAAGACCACCGAAATTGCCACCAAGAGAGAATCTTTATGGCCATGACATACCCAAAGTAATTACATGACTCTTTAATAAGTTGTTACTTTTTAATGTTGTTCATCAAATAATACTGTTCAATAATGTTTTGACTGTTTGATTTCAGCCTGATTACGACGATATAGAAGATGACTATGCCAGAAAGCCTGTCATAACGAACGAAGACAAAAGAAGTAGAAACGACGATAAAAAGAAATACGGTAAATGTTTATTTAATAAATTTTTTAAGCATTTGAAATGTTTTTATAGTAAAATTTTTGTTTCATCGTCCTTTACAGACGATCCGTATTATTGTGGATTAAGAGCTCGTGTTCCTAACTTCGTGAAAATGGCAAAAAATAGTAAAGTATCAACAAGAGGATATGCTAGACCAGCACCACCTCAAGCACCTACATATGCTGCTACAGGATACGCTAGTAGTCAATCTTCTCAAATTTATGGCCATTTACCTGGGAATCGACCACCGATTATGTATCATGCACGAAGCTTTGAAAGTGGACTTGGTATTACAACATATCTGTGCAAAAATTCAAGCAAGATCTAACTATTAATTAAGTAACATGATTTTTGAAAAAAAAAAGCTATTATACAACTTAAAGACGAAATTAACATTATTACATTAGCTTATTATTTTTTCAAATTACCAACCAGAGGTGTAATTCCTCCTACACCTAGAGCAATGTATATTGGAGAATGGGATTAAAGATAAAGAAGATTAACAAAAATGAAGTTAGCATATAAACAAATGAAGAGCAAGTTTGAGAAGATAAAGATAAAAGACAATATCACCAAATGAAGATATAGAAAATGAGAAGATCTACCACGCATAAAGAAGCATAAGTAGAAGAAACTTCCACATATAAGAAGAAGAAGAAGAAGAAGAAGAAGAAGAAGCAGTTTAAAAAGTTATGTGTTGATTAAGAACAAAGTAAAATAAAGACTATGCGCAAGAAAGTAATTATTAAAAAAAGAATGAACTAAAATGAGAGTGGAAAAGAAATAAAAAAGGGAGAACTATTCTTCCGTTTGTACCTATAAACTGTATATTGTTAATGTACTACTTGAAATACTCAAATTTTTATTGCAATAAAATTGTAGAACAATGCATACTTTAATTTATAAACCTTTCGGGAATTATCAAATTTCGTAATTAAAAGTAGAGAAAAACATTTTAATATGAAAAGGGAATATAAAGATATATAAAATCGATACAAAAATTTGTATAAAATGCAGTGCAATTTATAAAGCATAACAAGGTTTGTACATAATATTAAAAAGTACTTTGTTATGAAGTTAAAAAGGCTTAATCTTTTCAAACAATTGAAAAATTCAATTCTTGTCATACCGAAAAACAGATTTCGTTAATTAATTTAATTTTTTTTTCTTATGCTTAAAATTTTATTTTACTCCTTTGGTAATCCATCCATTATACCGTTAATTTTTTCTGAAGGAATTTTTGATTTTAACAAATTTATTGCATGATCGATAACAGTCTTTTCGTTTGTTTTTAAAATCTTTATAATCTCATCTGTTGTAGAAATCTTCGATACTTCAACCCAATATCCTTCCAGATATTTTAATAGCTCTTCCATTGTTTCTTCGGAATCTTCATCTTCATCTTTCATTGCTACAAAATATATTAAATACTCCCATAATCATTAAAAAAAAACTAGTTCATATATAAAACATACTCACCTGTGTTAATGCTGACTATAATTTTTAAAACTATTGCATCTATATCAACTGTAGAATCTGCTCTCAAAAATCCTTTCCATCGAAAATCAAGAATCATTTCGGCACATCTATGAACACAAGAAGCTTTAGTTTCATCTAAAGGATAAAGATTCCATGGATCGATAAAACTTGTTAAAATTCTTCGTGGAATTTCTACTGTTCTAGTTAAATTGTCTTCTTGCAAAATTTCTTGATGAATTTGATGTCCCTTTCGGAGATTAGAGAACAATTCTAACCAATCTTCAAGGTACTTTAAAGTTGAGGCTGAATGAAGATGAGCTTCATCTTCAGGAAGAACTTCTTCAAAAGATTCTAACATTCCTACAGAATTATTTATTTTTTGTAAATTATAATGAATTACAATAAATGGTGTATTTTAGAATAATGAACTCAATAAATTTCTTTAAAAATATATTAAAACTTGATACCTAGTAGAAAACTGGATGATTCGAACAATTCATCCAATAATGTTTTTCCGGATGGAAGATCAATTTCTGCTGCAGAACGTAGAAAACTCGTCGTTGCAATCAAAAGTTCCTCTGTAACAATTTATTTTATAATTACTAGTGAAATGAAGACATGTGAAGACACACTTGTTTCTAATTCCATTATTAATATTTTATTCTATTCTTGCCAGAAAGGGACATATGGGGTGTCTAGAAGTTAGAAGTCTTACAAATATATAAATTAAAAAGAGATGTAAGTAATGTATGGATAAAAAACAATGTGTAATAAATGAAAATAATAGAATTTGGAAAATATTATTCAGTATATTAAATGAAATTTATATTAATAAATGTGTGATTTTTAAAATACTTACCATTTGTGGAACTTTTTAAAATAAAAGGGACTACCTCCCTCAAAAAAGTTGAGTTTCTCAAATTAACTCTCCACTTTGATTCTGGATTGGTTTGAATATTCCAAAGTGCAGAACGCAACAGTCGAAGAATTTGTACCAATGTAGCAGAGTCTTCAGAAGAAAGATGACGAAGAATTGTTTCAAGGAGTTCTTCTTTTGCTCCCAATAAATCCAAAACTGATGATTCACAAGTCATGTTTCCAATTATTCCCAAAATTATTTCCTATAAATTGTATAGAAATATTATAACTAACAAATAAACAATATGTGAAAGAACACAATTTATAAAATTCACTTTGAAAGTGAAATACTGATTTTTTACTTCACACAGCATGTGAAAAGAACAATAAACATTGTGCAAAAATATATAGGATTAAAATATTAAGTAACTGAGATTTTAAGGATAATGAATATCTAAAGATAATAAAGCTATTTATTAACATTTTATATTCATTATAACATCAACAAGAAAATTTTAAAAATGTGTAGGATTTAAACACAGAAGGATTTTATGGAATTTAGAAATTAAGGACTCAAAAAATCAAGGAACTCAAGAAATATTTTGTGAAATTTTTATTGCATAAATAAAATACAGATTTAAAAGGCCAAATAATCTTGAAACAAATCGTACCGTTAATCTTGGTTCTTCAGATGAATTTAAAGCAAACTCTGCAACTTTAAGGAAATCAACATCCACCAGAAATTGAACAATATCTTTTTCTGTAGTCATATCCCATAAGGTGCACAAGTCACTTTGCAGTTTCTCATTCCATCCATCTTCCTGAACCTTTAGAATATTTAATTTATTTACATTAATTCATGTTGTAATCAGAATTGCTCTAAATATAAGCATATAATAAATTTTAATACCTAATACATGCCATACATATATTACACATATTAAACTCCAGAAATATAAGTAATCTTTATAGAACAACTTATATAAAAATTGAAATGTAACTTCAGGAGAAACATTATCATTTATTGGTAATATTCATATTGTAAATCATTTAGAGTATAAATCATGTATTACAATATAACCACTGAAGTCAGTTGTAAAAAATATTGTCTGTTTACATTAATTTATATTTATTCTATATAGTAAATTTCTGTAAAACAATACAATGTACAAAACTTATTAGGTATTAACATTTTATCATTCATTTATATTTGGGAAAAACAATATTTAGCATGATACATAATTCAATTGGACTTTAATAAGACAAACTGTGTCGAATTGTAATTAAAAACCATTGAAGGTTAATATAAACTTGAAAATATTTATCTCAACCTAAGATTATAATAGTTACCTTTGATATTGAAAGTAAAATACTGATTATCCATTTGCCACTGTACAGAGTATCTCCTATAGTATCTTCTTTCAATTTTTCTATTTCATTTTCTTCGACTTCTTGAGCTTCTAAAACAACGTTTGGTTCCACTTTGTCATTTTCAGGTTCCTGAATCTCGCTCATTCTTGCTACTCGTGAAATCACTCTCTTTAAAGCTATTTCAACAAATTATTGTTAACTTTATGAATTACTATTCAAAGCTAATTAAAGTTTTTGACAAAAGTTGACTTAAAGCGATAGCAATTTATCACAAATCATTCACGAATCTTTGATTCGAACTTGGCACAGCTGATTGATATAAACGACAATAACCTAACTTTTTTTGGTACTTGCTATTATTTTAATTGCATCGTTTATTTTATTATTTTTAACATGTTTTGAATAGATTTTAACAATATTCATCTATATAATGTTCTTAGCATAGTCCACATTATAACTAAAATTTTGTACTATAGATTCAAAATTATATCGATAATTCGAGATCGAGTTCGATAGTTAGCGTTTACCGGAAATAGGATATGTTAAATAGGTCTCCCATTTAAATTTTAAAGATCATTAAGAAAAATAGATGAATTATACTTTAAGATTTATTGTCAAATAAATGCATACATAATATAAATGCAATACAAATGCGTTGTAATATTAAATGCCTTTAAATAGTTTGTACATTTCAAATTTATTTCTGATTCTGTCTTCCTATTTCTTCACGTATTAACTTTGCTAGTATTGAGAGTGCCTGAAAATCAAACGTCACAATAAGATTTACAAACAAGGTCATATGACACCTAAAAACTGCTGAGATTAAATCTATATAAAACTAAATAGGATATAACAATTATATGTTGATATTTAAAATAAGAGGTATACAAAATTATAAATTAATAAATGAAGGAGGTTAAAATGGGATCAAAGAAAGTAAGAACCTTATCGATTTCTGTCGGTGTCGCGTAACTATAAGAAAGTCTCAGATGATGTTCTAGTTTCGACTTGTCGTAGTTAAACGCATGACCGGGAATAATAAAAATCCCTTGGGAAATACATTTCTTGCTTGCCAATTCCATTACGTCTTTAATTTCATTTATCTTTAACCAAACGAACATTCCACCCTGCGGGACATTCCATTCTGCCAACCCTATAAAATTAAATGTTTTTTTTTATAAATGAAAAATAATCAATTATAGATACATTTCAATTTTCATAAAACGAACAGCTTCAGATAAATTACCTGAAAGATGTTTTTCAATCGAGGACAGCATGATATCTCGTCTTTCACGATAAAATCTCTGAATTTCGTTAAAATGTTGCTCCAACTGATCTTGACCCCATGTGTTCAACAATTTAAACAATAACATCTATAAAATTATAATCACTCGTTTGTAAAGAGTGTAATATATGTATATTTTCTGCCTTGAAACATGCATAGAATTATTAAATTACTTGCGACATCGAAGAAGCATGGATATTTGTCGTTTCCATGTGCATCGTTAATTTTTTAATGAACTCTTTGTGCGCTGTAACAACACCTAAACGAATTCCAGCGCTAAGAATTTTGCTAAAAGAGTCCAAACGCAGTACGCGTCCCTCGGTGTCTAATTCGAGGAATGTTGTAGGTTTCTTATCGAGAAACTGAAGAACACGATAAGGATCGTCCTCCAGGATTAAAAAGTCGTATGTTACAGCTACTTCGTAAAGTTTTTTTCTTCGAGACTCAGATAAAACCGTTCCCGTTGGATTCGCTCCCGTTGGATTCACGTAAATAATCTACGAATGAAACAATTTTTCTTTATACTGGAATAGGAAAAAATATTGATTACAGAGTAAACGAAACGAACTACAGAGAAAATGAATGAAATAGTTTCCAATGTCATAACTCACTTTTGGTAATGGTTTACCATCGCGTATTCTTTCTTTGCAAATTTTGATTATGATCTCTGGTATTATTCCATTATGATCTTGTGGAATTTCAAGGAACTCTGGCGCGAATGGTGCAAGCTGAAATGAGAATAAATAATGTTGGAAAGTTTGGTTGGATAAAATATCAGGAAATTCCATTAAAACTTGAAGAGATCGAAGTATTTAGAATGCAAATTAACGAAGAAAGGAAAATCTTCCAGCTATTAGCATGAACAACTAAGGTAATATAAGTGACAATTAGAAGGAATAGATAAATAAACATTTACTGCGTTCAGAATTCCATTGTAAGTCGGTACTTGAACCATTACAGGATCTCCAAGTTCTAGAATCATTTCGAAAATTTTGTTGCACCCGTCCATCGATCCTGATGTGAAAAGTATATCCCAGTCATTATATGCTGGTTTGTGCAAATGTATTTGGAGTTCTCGCATCTTCTTTACCAATGGTATGCACCTTATTTCAAGAAATAAACGAATAAAATACTATTAAATAATTAAGAAAAAAAATGAATGAATTTGAATAAGGAGTAAAATTTCGAATTAACGTTGAATTAAAATTTACAGGGTTAAAGATCATTTTTTTCTTCATAAATTACCCCTGAGAAGGACCATATTGGAGGGCGTAAGACAACTCGTCTCCTGTTAATTTTCCTTTGATGCCGTTTTTATACGTCACGGTGATCTCTTCGAAGGGAAACGTTTTTGTATTTGGCATTCCGTTCGCCAGACTTATCCCATTTGGAGTTTCGATAAATCTTTTTGCTATATTACATGAGAAAATTACGGTTACATTAAATTCTTTGGAAAATTTAAGTATATCAGTAGGAATTATTAAGTAATAACGACGGCAATGCCAGTGATGTTGGTAATCAATTATTAAGAAAATTGTAAATTCTTACCCCATTCACGAATAATACTCGGTTTTCGTCTTTTTGTAACGCTCGTTAAAAATTTTGCGCAATCCATTGTTAAGTTTTACTGAAACTCTGGGTGTGAAACTGGTTATATAACAATGTTTAATTTTTCGATTCTGTGTCAGTTAGATTCAATTTTGGAATGATGTTTGTTTGTTTAAACTTAATTGAATTTTATCAACTTAAATGGGTTAAATTGAATCGACAAATTGATTGTTTTTATACTTCATCAATTGCATTATCAAAACAAGTAATTGAAGCACGAATGGAACACTTTGGATCTGTTTGTTGACTCTTTACCGTATCATAGCTATTAAGCGCATGTTTTGAAAGCTTATGAAAGACTGATTTCGTTCGTGTTTGATTTAAACAAAAACCATCGTGTTATCGATATCATAGGTCAATACCTTACACTGATAATAGATATCGGTTACAGTTTCGGACATTATAAAATTAACTTAATCAATTGAACTCTTGACTGATTAAATGCGAAACAGTTATCGAAGAAAAGAAATGATCAAATCTCGTGAAATTGCTTGTAAATATTAAACGAACAAGTGAATAGAGAAATATGTAGATAGATAAGCGAAAGATAAAATAAATAATGTTTGATAAAGTAAATCTTTTTTTTTTTCCTTTCTTTTTTATAGAATATTGAACAATTAAATTGTTCGGGCAAAGATAGTTAATCTATTATCAGTATTACAATAAGAACAGAAAAATTATTAAATGAAAAATGTGTAGGATATTGCTTCAACATTTTATGTTCAACATGTACATTTTATTTCGTATCTGAAAAAATAGAGACACGGTGGAGAAAATGAGTATTCTACTATTCATCATCCATTGCAAAAAGGTATCGAGTAAAGATCGGAGAGATTATTGTTACAAACAGCGTAAGTCAAGTACATTCTCATTGTAAAACGCTCCTCGAAAGTTTCGTAGGGACACAGATTTAGGAAGAGTTACAACGAATATATATATATATATATAATGAATAAAAATCATTCATAAAGTGCATGGTTTTTCTTTTTATATAATTAAAGGGATTCTCACATTTTATTACAACCTTTCCTCTTTCTCCGCTACAACGACCAGTGGGCAAGGAGTAAAATTTGTCAAAATAAATTAAACGAATCTCTTATTCAATGTCACGATAAAATCAATCAAATACTTGTATAAATGAATATTTCTGCTACGAAAATTGGACAATTGTCGATAACGGGAAAGAAAAAAATTTCACAAGAGGGAGGCCTGATGAAAGAAAATGATAGTAGGAAACGGTGAAAGTTTTATTGTTCGTACATCAGGAAAGATTTTTGTTCAAAACATTACGAAAGAATGATAAGAGCTTTGTTCGTGATCATGACCGTCATCATAATCATAATCACCATCTTTCTTCTTTATTTGCATTATTATTTCCATTTATTTTCATTAACGCTCGCATCTCCTCCCCTTCTTGCTTTTGCTCACCTAATATTATGTTTCTCTATTGCTTTTATTCCTTGTTTGTTCATTCGTCTCATTATCCTTAATCGCTATCGTTATAATTGCTTGCTGCATTCTCCTAGGCATCAACGTGGTTTTCTTTTCTTTTTTGCCATAAATAACTTTCTTCCTTCGTTATAATTACGATGACAAGAATAATCACAATTATTGATTATGATTGTCATCACTATGACTAATTTATTAAACCAAATCGTTAATTACGTTATCGCTTTTGATTTGTCGTGATTCTCTCTTCTGAGATGATACTATCTATATAAATGACAATGGAAGAAGATCCGGCGGAAAGGCACCGATAGAAGTTTCGCGTTGTAACGTGATTATTAAATGTGTAATCGGGTTCACATTTATATCGTTCCTTCTTTTTAGTAAGATTCTTTAGAAACGTATGTATTAAGAAAAGCAACATCAATCGATAGTGTTAACGAAAATATCAGTAAATAAAATAAATAGCTAATAAATAAAAAGAACATACAATGTAATTAATTAAATATATAATATTAACATTTCCATGATCAACAATTATTGATAGACTGTAATTATGCAAAATAGAATTCAACCATTAACATATAACAATAAAGTAAGAAGTAAAAAATTGACTTTCAATCTTAAATTTTTTTAATTCGAAAGAAAATAAGTTACGAATTTAAAAAATTGGAGTATAAAAATTGTCGTTTATACTTGTAATGAAAAGACTAGACATTATAAACGCGTCCCGATTAATGGAAAAATTTACAACACTATTAATATTTGGCTTTGATTGTTTCTAGTTTTCTATACACGAGTGCATGCGCACGTTCATATACATACATACAGACATACACATACATACACTCAAACGCACGCATACACGCCATAAGTCACATGCACACGTACACGGAGGATTTCTGCTTCTTAATTGGCAGTCATCAAAGCGTCATTAATTAATCAATTAAATAAGCATGAAAGAAATTAAGAATTAATGAAAATTAAAAAGAAAAACTTTAAAAACGACGAGTCAGTTGTGATTTTAATCCAATGGAAAGAGACAAATTGCCATTTCGCCATTTGTTATTTTCCTATCCTTCCGATCCTTTGTTTCTTTTCATTAAGAAAATGGAAAATTTTATATTAATCCATGATATAAATTAACTTCAACCAATTAATTACTTTGCTCGTAATAATTTTATTTCTGTAAAACATGAAATCGTGTTTCAACTATACGATTTAAGACAATAAGTCACTCAAGGTGAAAAACAAAAAATTGATAAATTTCCATACCTTGTGTTTTTTTCGTTTTCTCTCAAGTTTTCGACTCGATTAATCTAACAGTATTTTTAATTACGCGTATTATACGTACATATATAGATAAATGTTAAAAAACGAAACCAAAAAAATCATCAACGACAAGTTGAAGTATCTTTCATGTTATTTTTTACACGCACAACTAGATCAACGTCTTTTTAAAAGTTTTGATTTTCTTTTCTAACGCGATACAAACGTGATGCGTTTTATTCACTCTTTTTCGAATACGAAAAAAAGGAATTCATGTTTTTTCTTTCTTTCGTTTTTCTTCTTGTTTGTTATTTACAATATATATCTATAGTACGCTACTATGTTCTTCTTTTTACAACAGTTCGTTTAACGATTAATTAGTCTGTTAGTTTTTGCATCTCTTCTCTCGTATTTTTTTTTTCTTTTTGTATCTTAAACATTACTATACAAATTTTTTGGCATTTCCTTTTCTCTATTCCATTCTCTGGTTAACTATGCTCTTCGTTTCTACCTCTTTACCCGCAGAAACTTGACGATTCAACATCGTTTTTTATTTATTTTTTCTTTTTCTTAAGCGAAAACTGGACTTAATTCTTTACGAATTTTTTCCCGCCTACATATCTGCTTCATTAATGTTTCGATATTTGTATTTCCTCTATTATTTTCTACACCTAATTACATTTTTTTAGACTCTTCTGCATCCTTTCTTCCTCTAAATGTTTATAATTTCTTCTCTTTTCGAAGTCAGTTTCATCTTCTTCGTTTTAGAATCGCATATTCTTCGAAATATCTCACCATATCCAAGCATCAAGACTGTAATCTTTCTTCTTTGTAATTCAATTTCATTCCTCTTTTTTTTTTCAACTAACTTCCCATTCGATTCGATTCGTCTCTTCTCGAGCAATAACGTCAGGAATTCCATCTTTAATGTTTCTATTCTCCGTTCCACGAAATCACCCCATTGGAAGCCATGATCATTTATCGTTCCTTTTTATCCTTCGTTCGTTCCCTTCGAAGGGGGAACACTTTGTGCGATTACTGGCCATTCGTGAAAACCTTCTGGTAAATCTTTAGAGAACTAAAAGAGCGTTTCTTGTGACCAGACAGGTGGACTCGATGGTAATGGTGCCGGCGGTGGCCTGTGCCTGAGCTCGATAGCTGGTGAACACGGTGGAGAACCGAGACTGCTTTGGCTGCTGGTGCTCGTAGAGACTCCCTGAGACCTGTTAGCATATTCATAGCGAACACGATAAAATAAACATTAACAAACAAAATAAAGTTCATCGCGGATGGAACGTTAGAAGTAACGATGTAAAATAACAAAATACGTTTAAACATCATAACATATACCTAGAAGTTTCAACAGCTGCGCTGATGCTGTGACAAACTTGACAAGGTTTTCCACCAGGTCGTCGTCTAGGAACACAGCCAGCACAACCGTCCCATTTCTCAACCGGTTTCTTCTTCTTCGAGGGAACTCGAAGGAATCGTCTGCAACTTGGTCCGGGTGCTTCAGAATCGGTCGAGAACCCGGACACTTCGTCCTCGGTATCGAGACACTCTTCGTGCTCATCGTTTCTCAGGAAGACTGAGTCGGAACCCAGTGACCTTGAATAACCGACACTATAAATTCACACAGATAACGAATGAAAAGAAGCTTAATTTTTTGATACATTGCGTACACGAAACGTGAAATATCTTAATAACGATGATAAATTATTTTCAACGATGATCGCTACACCAAACTCGAAATGTAAATTAAAATCTAAATTTATGATAAAAATTTCTTTCGAGAAGTACCCATATGATTGTAATTAACATTCTTAACTCAGAAAGTATTACAGATCTCTTCCGAAGAAAAGAAAGAAATTTTGCACAAAAATTGATATACGGCATATTAACACTGACCTTGAGTCTGGTTCCGGAGGATCGACACTACCCATGGAAGCCAATGGTGCTCTCTTAACGGTAGTTCCCTTAATTATCACTTCGTTCGCGTAAAGACCTGCTTCGCTTGTGCATGGAGAAAGCTCTGGGGTTGGTTGGATTACCTAAGATTGAAAAGATCACAATAACGATAGTAAGCAACTAAGTGAGATTTATCGTTTATTCTGAAAATTGAAATCTACTATAATTTATTATTAAAACTGACAGACGACGAATTCATTTTCAGATCGTACCTGAATATCGATGGGGTAATAAAGGTCCCAGGGTTCGTCGTGGGCAGCGTGCTTCGTCGAAAACGTAGGATGAAGAGGTAAACATGGTACCGGCATTGCAGACCCTCTCCTCTCGAGGTAGCTACTCCCGGTGCTGCTACACGTTACCGAGCTGCATCTTCTTTGTTCTTCCGGTGGCGCCAATTTCGGCTGCTTCCTTGGTGGCGTTAATAAAGCCTCGTAACCACCCCCGACCGACGCGAAACGTGGACCGATTCTTGGCAAATGAGATTGAGTAACCTTGAAAGAAAATTCATAATTATCGTACACCATCGTTCTTCCTGTTCCTCTTACAAAACCCTGGCTTTTTGGTTTTTTGTAACCCACATACAGTAAAATACAAACATACGTAGGTACAACAGGAGGTGCAACTCCATCACAATGATACGCGACAGTGGTTCGTTAAACGAGAAAACTTACAGAGAGGATCAAGAATTCATTCCTACATATGTATATCGATATTTTTCTACGATTAAATGTTTCAACGTGACTTTTTAATTTTGTTTCGGCGTTTCGGTAAAACACGAAATATAGAAAGTACAATGAAACGAAGTTATTTCTTCTGCAAAAATAAGTCGAAGAAAGAGACGATAACAGTTGGAATAGTAGAAAGAAGTGATCTCGTTTGTATTCGTTTTATGAATAGACTGACCTCGACACAAAGAGATCTTCTAGGACCCCGATCTGGCCTAGGTGGTAATCTGGCGATGGCTTCAAGGGCGGCTGCGAGGGCTCTTTCCTCGGCTTCTGCTTCAGCTACCGCTGCGGCCGCTGCTGCGGTCAGTCTTGGATCCTCCAACTGCTTGCTCGATTTACACCTATCCCACATATATCCAACCTTTCATCCTTTTCTCTTTTATTTATACCCTCTCGAGCTATACGAAACAACTTTCTTCGGGTTATTCGAGAACAGTTGGCCGCAGTTGAAAATAAAAAAAACTCGGTAAATCATTAAACCGAAAATAAAATACACTTTTTTATTGTTTCTTTTTTTTTTTTTTTTTTAAAAAATTGAACCTTGATCGTGAAATAGGCGCGAGTTTGTGTGTCAGCAGAGTTTAAAACCGTTACACGAGCATTGCAGTTAGTTACCAACTAACTTTGGCTGCAAGTTAGGGCGAACATTCTCCGAAACATTACGAAATACACTTTTTTACACTGGAACGTTGATTAAGGCTTCGCGATTATTAAAATACAACGGCAAATTTTTCGAAAATTTTTTTCTGCCAAATATTTGAATCCGAAA